AAAAAAAAAAAAAAAAAAAAAAAAAAAAAGCAAACTCTTCTTGCATGTCAGGCTGGTCTTTCCTGCCAGGTGCCTGCACCATAGCTATACTCCTGTCTTCTACCCTGCTACCCATGGCACGGCACACTGGCTCCCTGGAGTCTTCCTGGCCTGCGGTTCTGCAAAGTGGCAGCAGCAGTGGAAGAGCTGGTATTGCAGGGCTGCTGACCCAAGAGGCATTGGTGAGACTGGTGTGGCCCCTCTCTCCAGTCAGATGATGTTCTCATCTGCTGCCCTGTGTCCTGGGACTTGCTGTTCAGTAGAGCAGTGGTCTCCAAAGTGGGGTGCGCAAGATGATCCATTAGGGTGCGGGAAGAAAATATTAGAACTACTATTTATACATATAAATTTTATATGAATATACATATATTGGGGGTGTATGCTCAAAAATTTTTTACTGATAGGGGTGCACGATCAAAAAAGTTTAGAGACCACTGCAATAGAGCATCCTAGTATGCCTAGCTTCTGCATCCTAGCTGGCAGGTGTGATGGAAACATAGGAATGGGGGGGAAGGTAGTTGAGCTACTGACTTGGGTTCTGCTAGGACTAGTTACACTCCCTCCTAGTCAGATTGCATCTTTACTAGCCACAGGCTCTGCATGCCTGTGTGGGGGGGAGGGAAGCGTGGCTGCCCAGGCCCCTACCATAGGTCAGTGGGAAGCATATGGCAGGCCTCTGGCCTGGCCATACAGCATTAAGGTGCCAGCCTGTAAGCTAGGTGCTGCTGCAGCAGTGCTTCAGTAGTCCCAGTTGTCTCGCCCATTTGGAGGCTAAGTACTCCTTAGAAAGCAGCATGTAGAGGACCTACAGCTCTCCGTGAAACTCAAGCCAAGGTCCTTCTGCATCACAGGCAACATTGAGCCTTAACAGGGCACTAAGCACAGAGACAAAGCCTGCAGACCCACTTACCCTGTACCTAGCTCTGTCTTAGAGCTGCAATCCTGCTTTTGGCAGTGAGAGGTGGATCTGAACAGGAGGAGCATCTGGGCACAGTCCTGCCCACCTGCCTCATCCAGACAGCCAATCTCAACATCCCTGTACAGCTGATGGCATGGCCAAGTAATGGAAGTGTCTGGGACTGGGAAGCAGAAAGCCAGCGAGAGCAAGGTGAGCAGGGATTTTCAGGGTCACAACTCAGCAGGGTGCTTCCAGTCCCCTGCTAAGCAAAGTTTAGAAAAAGAAAGCAGATATGCTAGCAAGGTCTGTGTTGAGGGTCTTTTAAACAAAGGTCCTATAAGTAGTAGCACCCACCCTGGGCTGAGCCCCACCTCTCATGGAGGGAGTACAAACATGTCCACGTTCAGCCAGCAAAGCCTCTTCATCTGTGCTGGTCTGTTTCCAGGCAAATGGGCAATGGAGCCAAGTCAAATAGCTCTGCTGCCCTGGAGAGTCCCCTGCAGCAGTGAAGTAGCTGTGCCACGCTGGTACTAGGTTTGCTCAAGCCACCGAACCTTGTGTAATGTGATCTACAGGTCAGCTTTGAGCTTCTCATCTGTCCCACCCACATGCTGCCTTGCAGCAAGGAGGATTGCAGGGTGCTTATCACAGCCAGTGCTGCAGCTGCTGGGGCTTGGACATCGTTCCTGGCCTGGAATCAGCTGGGCATCAATTGGCACCACTGGGCAAACCCTGTGTGCAGCACACAAGCGTACATGGCAGTAATGCACATAAATTAATAGCACACAACTGGGGCAGGTAATGGAGAGCTGTGCTTTCCTCTTAACAGCCCTGGTGCAAGAGTTGGGTGCATCCATGTCTGCAGAGGCCTGGCTATATCCTTCCCTACTCACAGCACATAATTAACCAGCACAGGCTGGTTTGAGAGGCCCTAAACAGGTGTGTTTCAAAGAGCAGCAAGCGAGCACGAGGGGCATGCATGCACCTGCTAGGGGCAGAAGGAGCAGAGCTCTGCCATTAGGCCTTTCTGTCCTGCTTGGCTGTTTGCTAAGTACAGAAGCTGCATCTAGATGACTGGCACAAATCGAGTGCAGATCTCATGCTGTCCCAAGCTTCTGCTCAACCTCTGCGCTAAATCTGTACGCAAGTAAAAGTCTTCTGAAAGCTTTCCTCTGTAAAGGCTGGGAGCTTTCCCAAAGAGGGCAGGGATGGGATCATTCTTTTCCTGGAAGATTTTTGTAGTGGAACAATTGCAAACCACCCCTACCCCAAAACCGGTGGCCTTTCCCCAGCTTGGATATGGACCCAGCTCCCTGCATCTCCAGCTGGAGGGGTGGGTATTAATCATGTGTGCTTGAAAGGGGAGCTATAAAGAAGCAACTCCATGAGGGAGACCAGTATTTCATGAAGGATTTACAGTGACACTAAACCACTAGAGAAGCGTCCGTCTGGTGAGCCCCTGAGAAATGATGCATGGGACGTCGTTACAGTCACTATGCAAATGCAATGCGCTGTTTGAAATAGCCTAGCCCAGGGGATGCTGCTCATCAGGGTCCCTCAATGAACCATCTCGTTAGACCGCACTGGGGGAGCAGGGGCCCTTCGGCTGGGCTGGCGCTGGCCTGCCTTCCACTGGCAGCTTTGAAGGATGGTGTTGTGGCACCGCTGATTCATTACATCAGCCCCGAGGCCATGACATCATGCGGTAAAAGCTGGGAATTTACGGGCTCTGTTAGGCAGTGGCGCAGGAAGCAATAAAAGCTGTGCAAGGCTCCGTGGTCCCCTGTGATTCATAGAGGAGGGGAAGGGGAAAGAGTTATGGGTCTGGGTTGGTTTCCTGGGAGCCGTTACAGGCTCGTTCCTGCCTGGGGGTTCTGGAGATCTTGGCCTCGCTCTGCAAACTTGCTGTGGGCCCAAGTTGCTTGAGCATCAACTCTTCCTTAAGTCCCAGCTCCTCTCCATGGGGCTATGTCCCTTCCAGGATGAGGGACAGGTGGCCTCCTATGGGGGCAGCACCTTGGCATGGTCAGCAGCAGGCGGTGGTGCGGCTGTCTTAAGTGGTGCCCTGGGGTTTTCTTACCTGGGTGAATGTCAGGTTGCAGGAAGAGGTTGAGATGTGACCCTATCGGTCAACAAACTGGAACTGGGTTGGATGGGGGGAGTGCTCAAAGTGTGTGCTCAGCGGGGAGACCCGCACGCAGCTGGGACATGGAGATGCAGTGGGGATCCCTGGCTATCCCCTGCGCTCTCAGTCCTGCGGTGCATAGAGGGGGATGTCTGCTTTTTTTCCACCCAGCTCCAGCCTCAGCTTTGGAGGAACAGGTGCTGCCTGGGGTGAAGCAGAGACAGTCTCTTCTAGCTCAAAGGCCTCCTGCAAAGCCATCCTACCTTGTGCCAAGCATGCAGCAGATGAGGGTCTGTCCCCTTAACTCTGCCCCTCTGACATGCATGACCCAAATGTTGCTTGTCATCCTTGAGCTGAACCAAAAACATGTCCTCTCCCAGTTCACTCCTCTCCCCTCGCTTCAAGGCCTGGTGCTCTAGCCACGGGGACTCTAGTCTGCAGCACCTTTTGGCCTGGTATCTGGAGCCAGTCTTTATCCTTTGGGCATGGTGTTACCTGGGGGACCCGGGGTGACTAAGCCTCCAGCCAAGCTGTTGGCAATAAGCCTGCAGCAAAGCACGTGCTTAAACCCACATCTGCAGCTGTCGCTCTAGCCAGCGAGCCAGCCCTCCCTTGTCGGGGTCTGCATCCTGCTGCGCACCCTGGGCTTTGAGCTCTGCGGATGAGCAGGGCATCACAAGCTGCAGCGGCTCCCAGCCTGGCAGGCCTCATCGGGGTGGAATTCCCCCTCCCCGAATGCCAGGATCCTGGGACCCCTTGCATGCGGTGGCTGAGCCTGGGCAGGACAATAAGGAGCTGGCTGGGTCCGATTTCACTCCTTTGCTGTATCATTGCCCTCACAGAAGACGTGTCCTTTGTTTAATCAGCCAGTCGCCTAATCAGTCCCATTCGGATCTGCAGTCTGAGGCCTTCCCCCAGGAGGGCGTTAGGTAAGTGTCCGCTGGCAGAGGACAGGATAGCAGGGAGCTCTGTCAACTGGCCAGGGGAAGCGAAGCCCCCTGCCTCTCCAGCTCCTGCTGGGTTCACACGACTTCCAGGACTAGCTGCTCCCTTGGAGAGCTGGGGGTCTGGGGGGGACTGCCCCTGCCCTAGCCTGCTCTGCAGAGCCCAGCCAGCCAGGTCAGGAGCAGGGTGTCCCTGCCCCGCGTAGCTGGAAGCTACCCCATCTGACCCTCCCGAGACAAGCTGAGGCAGAGCTTAGGAAGAGGAACTTGCTGCTGTCTGTGCACCAAGCCCGTTGGAGCAGGGGCCGAGGGCTGTGAGGCCAGACACCAGCACCGCACAGCCCACGGACGCCCTGCCCCAAGGGACCATGCAGCCAGAAAGGGGGTCTCATGGACTCCGCAGCTGTCAGTGTGGGGGAAGACTGCATCAGGGGTCCACCTGGGCAACTTCCTGCAGGAAATGCCTCTTTCCTCCTTTTTAACCCCACTTGCTCCTTGCTACAAGGCAGCATGTGGAGTTAAAAAGGTGGGGTGGGGGAGGGTGTGAGGGTCTCCACCCCCAGCATAGAAAGCAAACCCAGTGCACTTCCTCTTTCCCACATGTGCCTGTTAGTCATGGTAGCAGCAGCCTGCGGAAGCTTGGAGCAGCCTGACTCGTTTCCTCCTGCCCCACAAGGTCCGTGTCCCAGCTCCGGGTTGTCGTGGCCCCAGGAGTGCTTATCTGGCCTTGCAGCCTCCAGGCGTGTCTCCGTGCTACCTGCCTGGCCAGGCTAAGTGACTTGCCCAGGGCCACACAGAGCATCAGTGGTACAGCAGGGCTGTAAATGCAGGTCTCTCTGCTCCCAGGCTCAGCTCCTGGATCTTCCACCACAGACTCAGCTTCAGGGACAGCCTGGCCTGCCTCTCCCTGCAGTCCTCTGTGTTCCCAAGGACAGGCTGGGCTTCCCGGGGTTCACATCCTTCTAGCTGGCAGGCACAAGGAGTAGAAGCAGGCCCCGTCTGTTACCAGCTTGCAAGCTGCTGGGACGATGGAGGGGCTTCCAGATCATTTCTCACATCCCGTGCCAGCCTGAAGACAGAAGGGTCCGGGGGAGGGATAAGAAACAGCCTCTCATGGCAGCCGTCCGGCCCGCTGCCATCAGCGGGGCCCTGAGCTTGAAGGGCGCAGCTGGGCGGAGAAGGACGGCTCCGAGCTGCACGCGGAAACCCAGCAGAAGCTGGGTGGCATCAGGCAGCGGGTCTGGCTCCACGGAGGATGTGGCGCAGGATGCGCCGGGGAGGGGTAGGTCTCTGGGTTAATCACGGATGCACAGTGCTGCACTGCGCAGACAGGGATGCCGTGGTCCAGGACGGCACGGGCACTTTCTCTCGGTTGCACGGCAGCTCAGGAAGGGATCCAGAAGTCCTGGCCTGTCTGCCAGGTCTGCACCCCTGCCTAGTGCCTTGCAAATGAGGCATTGCACCCGGCCTGGGGGTGGGTGCCAGCCATGGCCAGGCCAGGAGGGTGGGGTGCGGTGGGCAGCCCCCAGGCCAGGCCTTGTAACACTGGAAGGGCACGATCCCGGCAGAGCCTGCACACAGCACATGAACCTGCCTGTTATAGCCCCTACAGAACCTGCCGGGAGAAGGGGGCTGGGCAGGAATAGCCCCTCTGGAGCCCAGGGGGATGAAGGGGGCCAGGTGGGCACGGTGCCCTCTGCAGCTGCCAGGCGCTGGCCCCTATAGAGCC